ATACATGGTTTTCTACCAGTCTCTGTATGAGATTTGTTATTCATTACACTATTAAAATTATTAATATGCTTGCATTGTGTACACATTTTAAATTGTAAATGAGAGAAAGTAAATCCTTGTTGTCTTTTTAATGTTAATTATTATAATTAGCTTATGATGATGAGCACTGAGACATTGCATGGTGTTATTTCTCATCCTTTAGTAGTTAATTTATTAAAAGTTATCACAATAACTATTGTTACCTGCTATAATTCCTATTGTTGATAGTTCATTGTGATATGGCTACATTCTGTTGCTACACTGACTTATTTTGGCTATTTAAAATAAATTATCATTATGATAAGTGGTCCTTTATATATTTTTATAAAAGGTGTTTTGACAAACTATTTTTTGACATCTCACTTCATTGTGATACCTATAATTGAAAATTAGTTTAGCATACATGTACATGCACCATTATCATTGCACAATACAATTTGGCTTCCATACATACCATTTCTACTGTGCTTATACAACCTATACCACAAGTACCTTCCTTTCCAATAACTAATTATAGAAATGCATTAATAATACACAATTCCTGGAATTACTTGTTTAGATAATGAGTCTTGGAGTGAACTTTGTATAGTTTGAGGCAGAACCAGCTTTTTTTATTAAATTTAATGTACAATTGCTTTATACCATTAATTTGTACAGTAAAAATGAAATAAAAATTATCATGCAAGTTGTTTACTCTAAATCAACGAGACATTGTTTATTGATTTATCATGCCAATAGTAAAAAAGCAAGTTTGAAAGTTGCTGTGCCAAGATACATTGTGCTACTATACACTGTTATTTTTTATGCATGTAGATATGTCAGCCAAATTAAAATATAAATGTATTATTAAATTTGTCCATAAGCAGTGTTAAGTTTAGTATCAATGACTTGTTCTTGTTGTCTGTTGTTGATAGTTGGTAAATCATATATTGGACCAATGTCTACTGGTGATCTTTCTCTTAGTGTATTCCCTTTATTCTTCATTATACAGTATACAATGATGCTAGTAATTATTGATGTAATGAGTCCAGTTAATAGACCAGTGATAGGTACTGCAATAGCAACTGAATGTGTGTGTATAATAGATACATTAGATATGTACATACATTAGTGTATTAACTAACCAGAACTGATGATGGATCCTGTACATGTTGATTGTGATGTGGCTGAAGTAGAGCCTAATAAATGTAATAATAATTGAAAAGTGTAAATTGACTACTTAGTTGAAATTTAGTACCACATGCTTAACTCTGTCACTAATTTGTAAACATGATTTAGCAGTTGACTATATAGTCAGATAATGTCAAAAAATTAAACCATTTTGGGATTGAAAGGACATGGGCTATAGTATGGGTATTTTTAGAAATTGGTGCTTTCTTAAAATGGTTGTAACTTGAAAAATTTAAGTCAGAATCAGCTCAAACTCTCCACACAGCATAAAGGCATCAATATGTATCAGAAAATGTCATAAAAATTTGGTGTGATTTTGAAGCCATTTTTCAGAAAAAACAATGGGCTATAGACTTGGGTAACTTTTCAAGTTTTGGCCTATTTTTAAAAATGATCATAACTTTCAAATTTGATGTCATAATCAGCTCAAACTTTCTACATAGCATTAGGACATCAATATGTATTAGAAAATGTAATAAAAATTTAGGGTGATTTTGGAGCCATTTTTTTGAAAAAACCATGGGCTATAGCCTTGGGTATTTTTCAGATTTTGGGCTAGTTTATAAAATGGCCGTAACTTGAAAAATTAATATCGAAATTAGCTCAAACTTTCTAAATAGCATTAGAACATCAATATGTATTAGAAAATGTAATAAAAATTTGGGGTGATTTTGGAGCCATTTTTCTGAAAAAACCATGGGCTATATAGCCTTGGGTATTTTTCAGATTTTGGCCTATTTTTTTAAATGGCTGTAACTTGAAAAATTGATATTGGAATCAGCAAACTTGAAAAAAGCCATTTTTTGAAGAAAACCTTGGGCTATAGCCCAGTTTCTACACAGCATAAGGACATGAAACATCAGAAAAAATATAGGTAATTTTTGGAGCCATTTATGAACAAATCCTAGGCAATAGCAACTTATTGATTAAAAATTTTAGATGATTTTCAGGTGCTGACAAATTGCAATAAAGTGTCAGTTAGTAAGAAAGCATTGCATTGAACAGATTTCAGTTTTATAATTTAAAATGTATTTAGCACAAACTTGATATTGTTATGCTGCTTGAAGTTTCTGATACTAATGTATTATCAATGATTGTCAGAGATATTGACATTGAAGTGGATCTGTCATTGCTACTAGTGGTGATAGCATCAGATGAACTTTTAGTAACTGAAACTATAACAAATATGGAATGGAAAGTATTAGAACTAATTTAGTAGACATTTGTATATACGTTTTTATAATAATTATTATGTTATATACTAACCAGTTAAAGTGGTTATTATTAAAATGGACTGTTGGCACAGTTGCTCAGTTATGTTGACTAAAGGTTAGACACAATACACTAAATATACTCATCAGTTTATAATAAACAAACCTGTAATGTTAATCAGTGGTCCCTCTCCAATAGGATTAACTGGTTTTATGTATACAGTATATTCATTATTGGGATATAGTCCATTAATAGTTACATTAGTATCAGTTGTATTAATAGTAATATTGTATACACTAACAATGTAATGTACTGGAGGATAATGTAATGTAACATCCTATTAATAATAATAATGATTTATAGTTAATAATATCTTAACATACTTCATTGTTATTCCACCATATTGTAATACTATCAGTTGATATCTGATCCCAACTAATATTAACAACTTGAGCTGGTACTATAAGAAATACAATAAGTGTGTGTGTGTGTGTATAGTACTTACCATTCCATATATACTGTATTAATGATGAAGGAGGTCCTTCTCTTCCAATAGTATCAATAGGAATAATAATAAATGAATAATTAGTACCAATAATAAGAGAAGGAATAGTTGCTGATGATTCATTACTGATGATATGTCCATTAACATTATCATCAGTGATTATTGTAATATTATAATATTGAATACAGTGTACTTCATCATTCTTTTCATAGTACCAGTTCATCAAAACTGTATTGTTATTAATTGGTATTATCTTTATATTAATAACTGATACTGGTACACCTATACATAGATACAGTATTATGATACATATAGTTCATGATGCATCTTACCTGCAATATTTACTGTTAATGTATTACTGTAATTATGTCCATCTCCAGAGCAGTCAATAACAGTTCCATTAAGTTGTAATGAAACAGACTCACCAGTAGCAGTACTTGTTATTGTATTATTAGCATTAGTATCACTAATGGCTAACATGAAACTGTCAATTTTATCAGTTTTATTTTTATCACTGGCTAAAATAATACGAATGTCACCATTGTTAATTCTCCATAAAACTAGTCCTCCGTTAGTAACACAAGTGAATACTAGTGTATCTCCAGGGCATACAATATCATATGATGGAGAGGACTGGTTGAATGATAACAATGTACCTGATGATACTGCATAAGATAACTAATAATTATTGATGAAACCACTTACCATTGACACTACTTGACAACAAAATTAAGAAAACAATAATCATCTTTGAATATCAACCACACACACACACTTGTGACCTGTGACACACCCATACATGTAGTTATAGTTATTCCTTTGTCGCATACTATAGTTCTATTCATTACTCCATGATTATGAATAATGCATAGCTTATACTATTAACAGTTTTGTTAGTGAGCTCACCCACAAAAAGACCAGTATTGTTCCAAAAACTCAAAGCACTAACTATTCCTAGAATTTGCATAATAACTGTAAGCACAGTTCCTGGAATATATAGTTGGTTTAGCAGTTAACATAATGACCACTAATGTATAGTGTGGACTGATTGTTATCATAGTGATATATATCAAAGAATTAATGGTTTAATGGATGTTAATGCACACTCAGACATGCTACACAAAAAGTTTAAAAATATTTAAAAATACATTATTACAAAAAAGTTTATGTTACAGCAAATAATGTAACCTGGAACCAGCAAGAAATTTCAACTATAAAAAGAAAGAGACATTAAACTATTACATTTACATGCATGTACATCATCATATACTTACTGTTATATTACTGCATATGTTACTGGTTGAACACTAGTGGGTGGACACTGTGGTCTACTGTCCTTAGGGACTATCATTACATCAGCATAAAGCAGGACCTTATTAGCTGATTCAACCTAACAATATACACTGTGTAATTATAATGTTTTTATAATGACAGTTTCATTATTTTCCAATTGTGAGTCCCAATTTACACATTATTTTGTACATCAATGCTTTGGAATGCTTTCTTGAGGAAACAATGAAATGATTCCCAAATTAGAGTATACGAGAGCATACAGTACATTAATCTTCTTATAGTAGCATCACTATAGGTTATAGTTAAGCTATGAACTCAGTTTTGATCCCCCAAAACTCTTATATATGCATGGATTACATATTTTCTCTTACTGGTACTTGATTTACTGTGGAATAAACAGGACCTTCTCTATCATTATACCGTATAGCTAGAAATTTCTGTGGCCCAAATTTATGCGAATTGCTGTCAAATTGGCTTTTGCAGATTTATTATTGTGAATTCACCATGCCTTTTAATTTAAATAGGTCAATAAATTGCATACCAACATTTTGAGGATTAAATTTCTGCAATTTTTTCAAATCTGCAAAACTAGCACAAATTTTGGGCCACAGAAATTTCTAGCTATACGGTATATTATTGTATTTACACTTAATGTCATTGATCTAGGCTTACTTATATAAGCAGAAATATACTCACTTGATTTGCATTGACTGTAGAGTAGATGGGGCTTTGTCCATTCTCTTCATCATTTATCTGTCATTATTATTATTATTATTAATATTAATGTGCATACATTATAATGATAATTACTTCATTGTAATTATAATGAGGAGGTATTGGTGGAGGTACTTTTTCATATTCCATTATATCACCTTTCCTAATGACACTGTACTGACCTACAAACAATATCCAACCTTATAGTGTACACTGTTTATGTACATTATAGTCTGCTTTAGTGCTGTTTTTCATTTGGATGTACACAATATATAGTATGACTGATGTTACCCTTTCATAATGATGTTTTTCATGCCAGACAATGCATAGCTTTATTTGTAAATAGTGAGAGAGTTATTGCTCTACTTTCATGAACTGTCAATAAACATATACCCCCACTCATTTCTCTTCTACCATGCACTTCTCTCTAATACATGTACATTCATTCTTACTTTCAATAGACTGTCCTCCAGCAGTTGATACTGCATACAACTCCAGTCCAGTCGATTGTAGATTGTTTGTGTTTCTCAACTAAAATAAAGTATTAATGTGTAAAATAAAAATTTAAATTTACCTCAACTTCTGTGTCATCATTTATAATCTTTGATGTTATGCTTGTGATATTTGATCTTTCAGTAGCTGCATGTATTAATAAAAATAGATCAACTATGACATTCAAGTACACTGCTATTTAATTATTATACTAACCATATAATGAAGTATAATATAGCTAAACTGGTTGTTGCTAGAGTTGACGAAATACATACATTCGTATTGTCATTTATATGCCAAAGCTTAGTTATGTTTACTATATAAAATTACAAAACACAATGCACTATACTCATCAGTTTATAATAAACAAACCTGTAATGTTAATCAGTGGTCCCTCTCCAATAGCATTAACTGGTTTTATGTATACAGTATATTCATTATTGGGATATAGTCCATTAATAGTTACATTAGTATCAGTTGTATCAATAGTAATATTGTGTACACTAACAATGTAATGTACTGGAGGATAATGTAATGTAACATCCTATTAATAATAATGATTTATAGTTAATAATATCTTAACATACTTCACTGTTATTCCACCATATTGTAATACNTATCATTTGATATCTGATCCCAACTAATATAA